ACCGCCTAAATCACAAAATACATGTTTATTGAGTGAATCACAATTTCACTATTTCAAAGAATTGTCATGTAAGTAAGCAAGTAAGTGACTTTTCCAGACAAACATACAGAAAAAATGACGAACCTTATCGCTCTAATTCTTTCACAAAACTTTTCCATCCAGGGTGCCAAGGATTCTGTTCTTATACCGAAAAGGATACTATTATATATATACATATATATAAAACAGACGATGCGCTACTTTGGGCATTAGATTTGAGGGTAGGTTCGTAGAGATCCTGATGAATAATAAAATCGAATCTGGTATAAGCGCGTTCCATGCTTGGTATTGCTGGCGCACATATATATAATTAATAAAAATGAAACAAATAGGTATAATAAAAGAATTAATTTTATAAAGACAAATAGAGTTCGATATATACGTAACATATATACGTTGTACTAATATAGAAAGTTTTAATGCTACAAAAAGTATTGGAACAAGGAAGTCCAAACTACAAAAATTAAGTAACTTAAAATGTAAAAGCATTTTATCTCAACTTTGGCTCAGACTAACATAAGTACAGTAATTTACCAAATTAGGGATAAAAAATGTTTAAGTTTTGTGAGTGGTGATTTATTCTACCGATTTTCGTACTTCGCTTGTTAAACGCGTATTTACAGGAAACCTCAGGCACAAAACCATCTGGCTCAGTAAATAATGGTTGGGTGGAAAAAAGCCAATGCAGCAGTAAACTGTTCAAAAACATGTAACATTCAATAGAATGGATATGCACGTATGTAGCTTAAAATATATTCTCAATAAATGGATGTAAAAACTTAAGAAACAATATAACTACAAATTGTTAATTTAAAAAGGGAATGAGGATCGTCAAAAAAGTACAGAAACAAGTTGAATTAAAATGCAAAGATTATATTTTGAAGCCTACAACCAGAGACTAAAAAAAAGGAAACAAACAAGGCTGGAAATAGTGTCTACATTATTTTCTCAAGCTATTAATCACTATTTTGACTCCATATCTACAGTACTTATCAATTTTAGTCCCCCCTTTTTAAATGGACAATTTTGAATTATTTCGTATTCCCTTCACTTATACCTTTCTATAGCCCGGCATGGCCAGGTGGTTAAGGCACTCGACTCGCAATCTGAGGGTCGCGGGTTCGAATCCGCATCCCACCAAACATGCTCGCCCTTTCAGCCGTGGGGGCGTTATAATGTGACGGTCAATCCCACTATTCGTTGGTAAAA